CCATCAAGCCTCAAGCCAGAGATCAGAGGGACAGGTCAGGAGCTGAAGTAGGGCACGCTGTGTCACCAAGGGCACTGCAGTGTCTCCTGAGGGCTGTGCGCCAGGCATGGCCCTAGAGCTGTCTCCAGAGAGACTGGCATGTGGTGTGTGCATGTGAGCAGCATTCGTGTGAGTGCTTGTGAGTGTGCATGTGTGTGAGTGTGTGAGTGTGTCTGTGTGAGTGCTGGTGTGAATGAGTGTATGTAARTGTGAGTGTATTCGAATATGAGTGAATGTGTGTATGTGAGTGTGCAAATGTGAATGTGAGTACGTGTGAATGCTGGTGTGAATGAGTGTGAGTGTGCTTTGTGTGAGTGTGYGYGCGTGTGTGTGCCTTTGTGTGAATGTGTGTCTATGTGTGAATGTGTGTGTGTACTGGTGTGAGAGTAACCCTGTGTGTGAGTGTGAGCACATGTGTGTACATGTACTGGTATGGCTGTGCCTCAGTGTGCATGTAAGTGTGAGAGCAAAAGTGAGTGTGAGCGTGTTTGGGTGGCTGACATGTTGGGAGTGAGTGGGTGCGGTGTGCAGGTGGACAGGGGTCCTGGTGTGATAGGTGATTCTCTTCCAGACACGCTGCCCTCTCCGGCCCTGGTGCCAGGAGAGCGGCTGGGAATCGTGCTGTGTAGCCCTGGGAGAGCAGCAGCAGGGGTCCTCCTCGRGCGATGGTGGCGGGAAGCACAGGGTCCTTCCTCTGGGCCCTCCTCTGCTCTCTTCGGGGGCTGTGGCCTCAGGGCAGCACGACCTCAGCTCTTATGGCCAGTGGTGACAGCTGCACTTCCCGTGGGGCCTGTTGATGCTCACACACTGACCTGTTTTGGGGTGTCGAGAGCACTGTCATCCTTGTGGGGACACGTGGCAGCCACAGCTCCTTGCAGAGATGGCACCTGTCTGAAACCTCACGCATGGGGAAGCGGCTCCAACTTTTCCTSTGCCGTTGGGCACCCCCAGTTAGGCTCTGGGGGGTTTGTTGTATTTTGTTCTGCCTCTGAATGTAAATGAGGATTGAGCCCCTGTCCCCGGCTCTGGGGTCCCGTGTTCTTTGTTGTCACAGAGCTGTACAAGGGCTGGCAGCTGTTGGGAGACACTGCCTGGTGCATTCGCTGGCCCTGGTGGAGGCCCTGCCTGGCATCCTGCTGACTGCTTTCCCAGTCTGGTCTTCAAAACCACACACGGGTACAACGTTACAACTCTGGAACTCGGCATCTGCCTTCTCTTGGTGCAGTGAAGAGAGGCCTCTGCTCCGAGGCRGTCCTGTCTGTGGCCACCACAGGGGAGTGCAGGGTGCATTACCAGCTGCCCTCGCTCGTTCCACCCATGTGAGATGCCAGCCCAGTCTGTGCCGAGCTCAGCCTGGGCCATGGAAAACAGGACTGCTCTTGACCCCAGGAGTCCCTGTGGCCACCCCCTAGCTGTGAGCACGCAGTGGTGTACAGTTAAGCTTGTCCATGCCCAGAGGAGCCTTGCTTCCCTGTCACGTGATRGACAACAAAACTTTCACCTGTTCACCGAAGGTTCTGCCTGTTCTGAGGCCAGGGGCACTGCCATGGTGCTGCCCTGCATCTCAGAGGGCCGGGGGGGGGGGGGGAGAGGGAGGGAGACCCGGCCTGAGCCTGCGGCGGTGGCCAGGAGCCCGAGGCAGCTCCTAGGCCTGGGGCTGTCTCCAGGCCTGTCTAGCCTTGGCCAGCTTCCTCGGCCATCCTTGACTAATCCTTTTAATTGCTGCTCTCCAAAGTCCCTCTGCAGGGAACATTCGGCACAACCATCTCTTCCGATTACTGCTTAATCTTGTTTTGAGTGATTTTAGCAAAGAAGGAAATTATTTGCTTCCTGCTTGAAAGAAAGCCATCATCAGAATGAGCACCATGAAGCACCACTCATTTCCCCCACAGCGGACAGCACACTGTGCTTTCCATGGCCAATGTGCACTCACTGGGAACTGTCCCGCCACCTCCTTGCCATTCACTCCCCTCTGCAACTGAGGGAAAAGCAGCCACCGGCAGAATCAACTGCTCGTAAAACCCATTGGTGTTAAAAAAAATGTCCACCTACAGGCTGCTACAATCCTGTCGGTGACGTCTGCTGAGCAGTGAGGGACTCTCGGCTTATGAAGTCCTAGCTGTTTCTGGAAATGGCAAAATGTTTCTAAAAACATGTGACCAACTTTGAATCACAGAGTTTTTGTTTGGTCTACTTGAAGCAGAATGGACAGTGGCACCCGCGAGTCTGCTGCTAGGCACGCGCCCCAAGACTTGAAGGCAGGAATTAAATAAAGAGAAACGTGTCTGGATGTTCGTTGAAGCACCATCCACAACAGCCAAACAGTGGACACACCTGTGTCCATAGACAGATGATCAACAAAGCATGGCCTGTCCATGCAAGGGGACATTTCTGAGTTCTGAAAAGCAGTGAACATCTGGTCCTGCTGTAGCGCGGACAAATGTTGAAAATGTTGTAATATGTGAAGGAACAGATGCAAAGTCCATATATTGTATGATCCAGAACAATAAGTCCACAGAGAGAGTGTATTAGCTGCTCTGGGCTTGGGCAGGGCTGAGGGACTGCCTCAGGTGCACACTTTACTTTCAGGGTGACACGGGTGTCCTGTTGCTAGGCAACATGCTCACTGCAGCGATACTCTGTTTGCACTATACAGAGAATGTGCCAAGTGCCAGGGAAATGTACCCCTTAAATGGCCAAGGTGGCAAATTTATGTCACATGTAGTTAGTTGGACCATGATAAAAAATAATTTTGCATGTATTTTGAGKATTTAATAATCAAATAGTTAGAAATAGTGTCCAGAGTAAAATCTCAATGACCTATAATTTAATCACAAGAAGTACAAAGAGTAAAAACCTAATGACATAAGTGTACAGCCTGTGAGTGAGCACCGTACACTTATGTCATTATTCAGTTCCACTCTCTGCAGAGTGACTGCAAAACTGGCAGCTTGGACAGGAGGGGTGGGGTGTGTCTTGGTATCTTTGGTTTGAGGAGTACGGGATGCACACAGCAGTACCAAGTGACGTTTAGGAGCAAGAGGGAGCCATGACTTTTCCATAGCTGTGCCCCTTGTGGTTGGGCATATCTGTAGGCAGGTCTGTATGGCTGCTGCTCATGCTCACCAGGAGTGAGGACTGTGCCCGAGCAGACCTCCAGGATGAGGGTGACTGACGGGTGGCCTGAGTGGCRTGGGGAGCTTGCTTTCCGTCACTTCACGAGGTGACTGCAGACTTACTTGGAGGCACTATAACGCAGACCCTGTGATTTCATGCTGCTATTGTCACTGTCTGCGGTGACTGATGGTCCACAGTATTGTAGATGCAATCTTAGAATTTAATATCTAATAATCTCCAGGGCTACAGGTGTGAGAACTATCTAACCAATGGCAAGTATAAAACCTAGAGGCCTCAAGTTGTGCGGAAAAGTGACGTTTTCTTGACATAYTCCAAGAGAGTTCAAATATTTGGAAATGGGTCCCCTGCTAGAGACCTGTGAGCCAGAGCCCAGGTTGCTTTTCCTCTTAGACAGCCTCACTGAACAAGGAGGCAAGCCCAGCACTGCTGTGAGTTTTCCTCAGCCAACAGACTGCATTAGAACCTCGTGTTGCAGAGATGACCACCAGGCCAGTATGCAGGACAGATGGGAAGCAGAGGCCGGGTGGAGCGGAGGTCTTTGGACAGGCAGGCTGTAGCTCTGGGTGCAGCCCCAGTGGTACAGAGAGCCCAAGATAAGAGATGCAGAGACCTGGTAGAACTCAGAGCTGCCACAGACCTGCAGGACCCCCACTGGTGTGCCGGTGGCACTGTGTCCTTGCCAGTGTCTATTCACCAGTGTCAAGGGGAGGAGCCTGTGAAGGTGGGGAGTGGAGACTGCGTGAAAAGGCATTGTTCAGACACCTGGCTGCTTCTGTCTCAGCCCCAAACAGTTGCAAACATGGGGAAGCCATTCCTCCCAGGGCTGAACTCCAAAGGAGCTGTGTCCAGCTGTAGGCGCAAGAAGCCAGGCACGTGCTTGCTTGTGGTAGTGGCCCTGGGTGTGGAGCCTGGTGCTGAACAGCATGCCGTTGTCCTCACAGTTTCCTGCCAGTTCCCTGGGCTCCCTCACCTCCCAGGGTGTGGAGAGGTCAGCGTGGCTGCTTGGAGGCCAGGCCTTCCATCTGCCTGCTGGCATCTGAACTCCTCGCCAGGGTTGTGGTCCCTGGGATGGAACCATTCTGAGGGCAAGCTGTGGGGAGAAGTAGCTGGTCTGGAGTGTGTGCATCTTGCTGCTGACCTGCCCATCTTCGCGGTCTCTGCAGTTCTCTACAGGGGAGTAGCACCTGCTGCTTCCCCTGGAGCCTGGAGGTTTCCTGAGTCCGTCCTGTCCCTGGGTATTCCAGCCTCAACAGCACCCGCAGCACCATGCCTTCCGCCGTCAAGTGCACTAGCACACTGCTGGGTTTGGGGCAGAGCCTGGCCCTTTCCTGCTGGGTTTTTAGGATTCCTGTGTGAAGATGCAAGAGACAGAAACTTCCTGTGCACCTGGGACCCTGGGGACCTGGGAAGAATGGGCTGTGGCTCTTCTGCAAGGTGCTTTCAGCTTGGGCAGGCCCAGTACTCCACCTGCGTCAAAGTCCCTGTTCCCAGGAGGTGTCCAGCCTCCACTACTGCCCAAGGGCCCAGGTGGGTCTTCTTGGGCCTGAGGAGAACCTGACTGTGACTGGGGTCATCTTCAGGAAGCAAGGTCCACTTGCTGCCCACAGATGTGCTCAGGAAGCTGACTGAGCCTCAGTGTCCCTCTCATCCAGTGTGGAGAACGACCCTCTTCTCACTGCGTGGCCTTTGCCGGGAGGCAGGACTGTGAGGCGCGAGCATCCCTCTCACCAGGAAGCCCCTCCAACCCGGTGCGTGTCTGCGTCTCGCAGCTCCCTGCCCTCTGCCTTCCTGCCGGTGCTAACCCTGTCTGTCCTTCCCTGCAGACGTCTCCAGGTGTGTGGCCGAAAGGAAGTACACCCAGGAGCAAGCCCGGAAGGAGTTCCAGCAGGTGTTCATCCCCGAGTGCAACGATGACGGCACCTACAGTCAGGTGACCACCCTGCGGGGACGTGCCACCCGGGCGGTGAGGGCGGAGGGCGCCGGGAGGGCCGGCAGCTGGCGGAGGAAGCTGCAGGGGTGCCCCGGGAGGCCTCCCAGTMGCACCGCAGAAGTTTCTCCCCAAGGAGCCTTGTGTGCGCAGAGGGGGGCTGAACATGTCTGTGCCCCATCGGGCAGTGTCCAGCTCTGCTGCCCGCGTCCACCCGTTGTTGCCTGAGAACCTGGCGTGGGCAGAGCCTCGGCCAGACTCTTAGACCATGGGAAYGGCCGGGTTGTTCAGGTTCGGTTTCAGGTGACAGGGCGCATGCGCAGGGAAGCGCAGGGAAGCGCAGGGAGCATGCGCAGCGTCAGAGCCAGGAGGGAGCTCCAAGACAACCCAGCTGGCGGCCTGTGGCTAGAAGCTGACCAAGCCAGGCTCACCTATGGTCATGTCCTTAGCCAAGGGACGGTTGAGAGGCCAGGTCACCTTCAAGTGACAGCGTGGGATCCCTGTGTCTTACACAGTCGTTTGACCACTGAGAGATGGGCATGGAGAGTGAGGGTGCCTCTGCTGGTCTGAGCAGGGCCTGAGCCTGGTCCTGGAGGCCACGGAGGCTCCCTGGAGGAGCACCCTCCCGCAGCGCTCCACGGCCGACAGCCTCCCGACTGCCCAGGCCTCAGTTTCCCCATTGCAGGGTGAGGGTTGTGCTGCGTCTGGACAGTAAAGGGCAGTTAGGTCCTTCACAACAAAGGTGCCCAGCACCCTCGTCCCTCTAAGGTCTGCAAACCCTGCCACCCACCAGGGAGTCACCTTAAGTGGCACTGGCTATCCCAGGCCTCTGAAGTGACTCCACTAACGTGGAGCTGGCCTCTCAAGCTGCAAGCTCTGCTCCTGTGTCCAAGGATTGCTCACCACCTGTCCTTTGTCTGCAGGTCCAGTGCCACAGCTACACGGGGTATTGTTGGTGCGTCACGCCCAATGGAAGGCCTATCAGCGGCACCGCTGTTGCCCACAAGACGCCCAGGTGCCCGGGTAGGTCTGATCCAACCTCCAGCTCTTGGAAATCAGTTGCTTCTTCTCCTGGCTGTCTTCTTTATGCTTGCTTGTCATTCAAGAGGAAAGCCGGTTTGGTGGAACCCTAGTGATAGTGAGGAGGGCTCAGGCTACTCGACAGCGTGTTGGAGGGAAGAAAAGCGGAGGTGCTTGTACATACACTCAGGGCGGAGGAGAGCGCTCCCAGGAAGGCCTCCCTGGCCTGAGCCATGGGAGGGACTGGGACTGGGAAATCTCAATAACCAGAGACTTTAGTCACCAGAGGAAATGACCCAGTGCTTACTTTGGCCAAGAAGGTGAAAACTTCTGGTCTTGTATACATAGGTTTTCAGAGAGAAAGTGGCTCATTCTTCATCGGTGAATTTCCAGAGGGTTTATTTGTGTTATTTTATTACTCATAAAAGGGCTTGATGTAAGAAAATTGGCAGGATAATAATCTGTGAAATGCTTTCTTTTCCATTAATATTTTACCAAAAAGGTTACAAATGATTCAGATCATTTTTACTTGAAAATGGTCTATAGCCCAAGTTTGGTTAATTTGCTGGGGGAAATCTATAAGTTTCCATGAAAAAAAATCTCATGTCTAGCCTTCAAAATTCTTACATTCTACATATGAAAATAGGTAGAACTATCATCATATGATCAAATAAAGTATCAAACATTTCCCCCAACTTTCATGTAAAACATTAAAACAGTTGCACTTAGAGTTCACTTTTAGACTTCTTTTCTAGCTAAGGACAGGCACTTTCTAGCTGGGAGTTCTGTTCATGCTCAGGGACTTAGGAAGAGTCCCAGCCCCCAGAGTGCAGGCTGGAGCTCACGATGGCATGGCTTCAGGGGAACGATGCAGCTGCATATCCAGCAGCGTGAACCTCAGGACCTCACGTGGCAGGTCTCTCGTGGCAGGTCCCATGTGACAGGTCCTTGAGTTACGGGTATTTCCCAAAGCTGCTTTGTTACCAAAGGCCTCACAAGAGCTGGACAAAGTTTGAGTGAGCTCACATGGACATCTAGTCCTTCTTTCATGGTCTCCTGGAGGAAGCCAGGGGAGGAACAGAAGAGGCTGTGCTGGGGCGGCCTCTGTGAGCCTTTCCGGCCCCACGCCTCCCCCTGCATCAGCTTTCTGGGTGGAGCCTTCCTCCTGGAGGGCAAGCAGAGGAGTATCTGTGGCTGAGGTGGCAGGAGGTTGTCTGAAAAATCAACTAGTGCATGGAAGAACTTTCCAGAAAACCGTGTGCAAAGTTGGCTGAATGGCGTACAATGTGCCGCAGTGCCGGCCCACAGCCTGCTGGCTCTCATTTCTCAGCCAGCTGTCACTAGCACTCGGCTGCAGCAAGTTCTGATCCCATTGATGGTTTGATCTGAGAAGTGGATTGGGAAAGAGAGTGTTCTGTGCTTTTGCTCTAAAGGCCTGGTATCTACTGTGTGGAAATGCTCCCGGTAGGAAGCAAAGACAGTGAAAGTGCAATCCACAGGGCACTCTCCTGGAACTCAAGCTCCTGAAAAGCAGTCGCACCTTTTCAGGTGCCTGGTGTGGCTCTGTGGCTGCTGCCCCTGTGAGGTGTGACTCCTGGTTGGGATGAGTAACCTGTTCCCCGACTCCAGAGAGCAGCGGAAAATCCCTCTATGCCCTAGAGCTCCAGGCTTTCATTCTGCCAACTTGGGTGGGAGGGCAGGTGCAGCACCAGCTCCTTTGGGAGCTTCATGGAGTTGGGGGACTCTCTCCCTCTCTTTTCTCAAAGATTTGAAGTCTCACTGCAGGAGACAGGAACAAAGCCTACCACAAAAGGACTTTTTCTCCAAGGGAGGATTCCTATAGCTAACCTATTTTCTACTATCGGGAAATCGCTTCAGGTTTTTGATCTCATCTCTGTTCTGTAACCCTGCACCCTGGCCAAGAGCTTATTCCTGGCCCAAGAACAAAGTGCTTTACAATATTAAAGCTGAATCGACATGCAGGAATTTTTAATATCACAGTATCCAAAGACTCTTCATATGGAGCTTCGTCTGGGTTATGTCTTTGAAGTGGTCTACGGGCTCTCGTTATGGGAGAGGGGTGGAACAGCATAGCTGGTGCCCACCATGGGTGCCACCCCACCCTGTTCTCTCACCAAGGGCCAGGCACAGATGCTGGCTGGAGGTCTTGTCCAGCCTGCCACAGCTGCTTGGGATGTGAGTGGTCCCTTCTCACAGCTGAGGAAAGAAAGCCATTATTTGTCCCTAACAGGATTCATAACATCAAACCTTGTAACTTGGTTTAAGTATTGAAGCACTGGCACTGCCCACCCCCAGGGCGGAGGAGGTCTGCGGTCTTACCCACTGCCCACCTCCACTCAGGCAGAGCCTGATTGCTCGTCCCACCATGTCTGCTTTGGTGTCAGGGAGCCCAAGCTGTTGATGACGCAGGATCCCGGCCGGGACTGAGTAATTTCAATACGTCGTTGATGCTGACTTAACTCTGAGTCCTACATTTTCCTACTTTGCCCAAGGTACTGGCCACTGTCTGATGCACAGAAGGCCACGTCTGCAGCAGAGTTCCCAGTGATTGCTGAGCAGTCCTGCTAACAAGCAGCTGGTTGGGGTCCTGTTTCTCACTAATGTGTCTCTGGCACTAAGCGAGGACCCCACCTAGCCGAGGACATTGAAGAAACATCCAGAACAATTAATCCACAAATGTTGAAGTCAGCAAGAAGCTGCAGTTGGTTTCTGATCTCTCTCAAGTATATCTTTATAAAAATTACTAAAATGGAAAATTGTAACTACTTTGATTAAAAACTTGCTTTTCAAAAAAATCATCTCCTCAGCCAGGCGCAGTGGCCACAGCTGTAATCCCAGAAGCTCAGAAGGCTGAGGCAGGAGGATTGAGGGGCCCTAAGCAATTTAGGAAGACCCTGTATCAAAGTAAAAAATAAATGATAATATTAATAATRATTTTTAAAAGAATTGGGGAAGTGGCTCAGTGGTTAAGTACCACTGGTTCAATCCCTGATAGCAAAACCATCAAACAACCAAATAAACAATGAAACAGAAAAACAAAACAAAATCATCCTTCAAAATGGCCTTTTCTCTGGGCCTAACACTTCTCTTCCTTAAAATGTTAGTTACTAAAATTTTAATATATATTAATAAAGAAAAGCACGAACAAATAACTCCAACAAGAAGTAGAAAATGCACTGAAAACTCAGCGCTTTGCAGCCTGTGAATCTGGATTTTACCTGTGGTTTGCAATCCTGAGAGGTGCTTCTATAGGAAAGTGTACATCCCTCGCACTCCTCTCACGTGTTCTCAGAGGTCGGGGACGTGCCAATTTTGTCCTCCATGAGGTAGCTGTGAGCTGGAGCAGCCACAGAGGGTTGGCCCACTCTGCAGTGGAAGTTGTGGGTGGTTTTGAAGGTGTTTAATTTATATGAATTTCTTAAGACACTGGGTAGATGTAAGGCAGCGAGCAAAGCATGGTGGCCGCCCTGCACAGGGGCTCTGCAGCCTGGGGGTCAGAGGACCCTRTTCCACCTGTGGAGAGATCTGGTCTCCTTGCATGTCCCGGGCCCTGTGTCTGAGCAGCCTCTAGGCTCATCTGATCCTCCGAGCGGGCCTCTGTCCTCTGTCCTGGTCTTCACATCTCACTTGTGGTCTTCCCACTGACAGAAAATATTTTTCCATTCAGGAAAAATGTCTCTTTTCTTTTGGGAAGAAGTACTTTTCCATGTCTAATAGTCGCATTTTTGATTGTCTGCCTTCTGACTGTACTTCATAGTCTGTGTGATTAGGTGTCTGATTTGTGATTTGAATGTCACGTGGATCTAAGAGAGTACTCCATGAATCATCCCTAATGACACCAGTCCACAGATGGCTTCAGCCTCCGCTTCCTAGTATTTAATAACACTTTCTAAGAGATAGAGGGCTTTTTAGAAGTGAAGGGTCCCTGTCAATGTAGCTCATCTGAAGAAACATGGCTGTGTTTTATTCAGCTCTGCATTGCTGGGACCAGAAGACTCGATGAGAATGGCGGGAGGAGGCGCAGTCTCTATTGGCTCTTGGTTTCAGAGGTTCAGTCCATGGCCTGCAGACGGGGCAGCTCTGGGCTCTGGAGGAGGCAGAGCTCTGCACACCAGGGACAAAGCATAGACCCCGAGGGACGCCCCCGGGACCCTCCTCCAGCCACACCCCTCCTGCCATCATCACCTCCCAGTTAATCCATGAAGTGGACTGAAGCATGGATTGGGTGAGGCTCTCCTGGCCCGATCATTTCACCTCTGAGCATTCTTGGCTTGCTTCACAAGTGAGCTTCTGGGGACTCCTCACATCTAAACCATAACAGCCTCCGTCTCTCTGGAGGTTTTATGCAAAGGAAAACAAGCATAGGCGGTTTTTAAATTGATTTTTTATTTATATATGACAGCAGAATGCATTACAATTCTTATTGCACATATAGAGCATAATTTTTCATATCTCTGGTTGTATACATAGTATATTCACACCAATTCGTGTCTTCATACCTGTACTTTGGATGATAATGATCATCACGTTCCACCACCATTAATTACCCCATGCCCCTTCCCTTCTCCTCCCACCCCTCTGCCCTATCTAGAATTCATATTCCTCCCATGCTCCCTCTCCCTACCCCCCTATGAGTCAGCCTCCTTATATCAGAGAACACATTCGGCATTTGTTTTTTGGGGGATTGGCTAACTTCACTTAGCATTATCTTCTTCAATGCCATCCATTTACCTGCAAATGCCATGATTTTATTCTCTTTTATTGCTGAGTAAAATTCCATTGTGTATATATGCCACATTTTTTATCCATTCATCCACTGAAGGGCATCCAGGTTGGCTCCTCAGTTTAGCTGTTGTAAATTGTGCTGCTATAAACATGATGTGGCTGTGTCCCTGTAGTGTGCTGTTTTCAGTCCTCTGGGTATAGACTGAGGAGAGGGACAGCTGGTCAGATACTAATGCTGCTGCTGCTGCTTTTTGTTTCTTTTTTTAACAAGCATCTTTTGTTTTCTTTCCTGTGTGTAACTACGGAGTTAGGTGTGGGGGCACTTTTGAGGACCCTAAATTGTGTGACTCTCTTACAGGCTGACTGCTGCACTGAGGCTTCTTCTAACTTAAAGAATGTGAAGCTTTTACTCTTAAACCCAGTGTGTGTAAGACAGGTGGGGAAGCAGGGGCTGTCTCKTAACGGCTCCCAACTTGTGTAAGGGGAAATTCATGGGAAATTTCTCCTTTCACGACTTTAGAGAAGGAAGTCCTTGGATTGGGGACGATCAGGGGCCTCACCTGTGGGTAGTGGGTGCAGAACATTCCTTCTGCCCTGTGCGCTTCTAGCCAGGAGGCCAGGCTACTTCACACCAGAATCACTAGAGAAGGGAGACCCCTGGAGCGAAGGCCAGCCCTGTGAAGCCCACAGCTTTCCACATCCACCATGGCCCCAGAGGCTCACTGGGAGACTGGCTGGACTGGGTTTGGCTTCTGCATCTGCAGAAATGGCAAATCGCCGCCGGAGTCCAAGCTGGGTGCAAGATGAGAAGGAGCCGCCCCTGCGTGGGGGAGACCCCTGTAACAGAAGACACGAGGACAGAACTGGGTCACTGGTTGTTGCATGGTGACGAGCACCCGCTAGACCTGGCTCCAGCAGGGAGTTCAATGTGCCTTAGGACCCCTGCTTGACAAGCCCCGACAGTGGCCTGGCCCTGACACAGAGGTTTTGCCTCCTGACAAGTCTCCACGTGGTGCCGTCCATGGGCCCAGCCCCTCCTGCAGAGGGCATGGGTGAGGCCAGGGCCCCACATAGCTGCCCAGGCCACAGTGTGTCCACACAGGTGAGCAGTAGGGATGGCCACCTGCATGCTGTGAGAGGCCTGCTGTTGGCAAGGACCTGGGACTGCCTGTCTCTCCTCCAGCTGACCACCTGCTGGGAACCAGGTGGCCACACCAGCCCCTTGCCACCTGACTGATTTGCTCCACCCTGTTTGGTATCTCACGGCAACTGGGTCAGTCAGAAGTCACCGTGGGCTTCAGGACCCTGCTGCCTTGTGGCCTGAGCATCCACATAGGCCTGGGTGAAGCTGACCTGCTGTGTGACCTGGTTGTCCCTGGAGCAGGCAACGTGGACACTTCTAATCCCTGTGCTTTGAAGATCATGAATGTTCAGGAAATGTAAATAAACCACGCTCTGGGGCTCAGAGTGGAGTGGCAGACTGTGCTCAGGATGCTGAGYCCAGGAGCACAGCATCTTCCTCTGTGGGGCACTGACTGCTGGCCAGGGCAGGCTTAGGATTGGGATCTGGTACAACTTCCCTGAGTTTGGGAACAGGGAGGTGGCACCTTCTGGGTCTGCATGTGTGCAGTCTGCCCTGACCCTGGGGGGCTCCTGCCCCGTGGAGGAGATGTCGAGGACAGAAGTGGGGAGGAGTGGCAGGCGTGTGGGCCCCTGGCCTCCCTCCCGGGCCTGGCTCTGACCCCTGCAGAGGCCGCTGGTGAGCCCAGAGGCTTGGGCCACGGAGCTTGCCAAGTGCTGCCGGTTGTCGTGTGAGCCTTCTGTCCTTTGCTGCCCTGTCCAGGAGGTGAGTGTCTGCTTAGGTCTTTGCAGGTACTGACCCAGCTTCTCTGAGAACCCGGGCTGCTGTCCTGGCGTTGTCCTGGCTCTGTCCATGTGCCCAARGAGTGTGAGTGCAGCGGGGCAGCTCTCTGGCTGGCTCAGCTCTGGGGAGCCGTCCCTTCCCCAGCTGAAAGAGGCCTCCCTGCCCTGGTTGGCCCCCAGGACCCCCACTTTCCCTGTCACCATCTTGGTCTCCTTGCTTGTTGTTAAAGTGCATCTAGTGCTGAGTGAAGGAGCCGTCTTAGGCCTCTGACTCTCGGCAGCCTGTGGCCACTCAGCTGGGCCGTCTGGCAAGCCCTCATCGCTGCTGGGTTTGAACCGAGCCTGCAGAACTACGGGCCTGAAGAGCTCGTTGCCCCTGCTTAGGGCTTGGAGGCTTCCTCGTGTGTGCTTCGTGGAGTCTCTCACGGGAAACGCCTACCCGGAGAGCTGAAAAGCCACCCCTTCCTGTGCATGAAGTGGCACAAAAGCTCAGAAATTCGGGAGCTCCAACTGTGGCCTGGCTGGTCTGAGGAGCGTGGCTGAGTGGGGTCTTCCCACCTGGGAACGGAGGTCAGTCTGGAAGCTACCCACTGGCCCAGCATCTCAGAACGCGTGCCGACCGCCGAGGGTCATGCTCACCACTCCTGTCCTGGCCCTCTGCTGGAACCCCCCAGTTGGCGCCCCTGGGAGTTCAGCAGACCCTGCCTTCAGGAAGGGCAGTGGGGAAGAGCTTTGTCCTTTTGGCTCTGGACTCAGGCTAGTTTCCATAGCTGTGCTGTGTGCAGAGAGTGGCGTCAACGTCCCTGCAGCCAGGACGCTGCAGGCCGGCTATGCAGGAAGGCCAGAGTCCTGTCCCGAGGCACGGGGACCCTGAGGAGATGCACTGTTGGTCCCWCGTCCAAGTCCTGAGTAGCACAGTGTGGACCCAGGGCATGAGGTCCAGGAAGGATGCTCGATTCTGCTGGGAAGTTCTTTCTTGCACWTGAACAGGAGATAGGACTGTTTTTGCGTGGATTTGTTGAAGTAGAGCTGGCTGAACGTGGGGCCTGCTGGCCAGCTGTAGCACTGGGGGAGGTGGAGAAGGCTGCCCGACRGCCCCTGGTCAGACTGCAGTTCATACCCTCCTGTCTGCAGATCACAAGAAACCTTCTTCATTCAGTCRAGGAACACTCTCATGGGGGTGGGTACTTCTTATTGGGCATGTTTATATTTCAGTCAAAGTCAAAACCCATTCACTAATGTTCAGAAATATCACTGAAATTTTGTCATTTCCAGTCAAAGGAAGGAAATTGCTTTTGAGTCACTGCAGCAGCATGTGATGAACATAAGCTGACGAGTAAGAAGCAAGCTCTTCAAATCTGGCTCTGTGAAGAAGTGGCACACGGAGGGGCCAGCAAAGCTGTCTGCAGGCCAGGAGGCCCCAGGGGCAGTCCCTCCCCACGAGGAAGCCTGGTGCTCCGAGCCTGGAAGTGCCGCCCCAGTTAACCAAGCAGCCAGGCAGCTGGTGGGAAGGGTCCTCAGCCAGTGCCTAAAAGTGGTGACCACCAGCCAGACCAGGGGTCCTGTGCCTGTCCACCCACTAGCAGCTCTGAGTCTCACAGACAGTGCTCACAGAYAGCTGACCACCTCCCCAGGCTGTGCTGGCTGATTCAGGCCCTCCAGAGAGGAGGCGCTGAGCTGGCTGCGTCCCCACTRGTCCTGTGGAGTGGAGCTCCCACAGTGACCTGGCACCCGGGAGCTGAGCTGCCTTCCCCGCCGTCCCCCTCAGCCAGGAGGGCGGCTTGCCCCACCCAACAACGTCCTAGTCCCCTCTTCGGTGTAGACGCCGGTCTGCATYTCAGTAGCACACTCAAAATGAAAAAAGAACAGTTTCAAGTTCTGAGATGTTTCTGCTAAGGAGATCACCCAGCACAGGAGGTGGTAGTTCTCAGTCAATCTGAACGGAATTAAAAAAAATGCTTTGAGTAGGGTTAGGAATGGCGAGTGACAGGAAGCACTCACGGCAGTTTTGATCCCTGTAAAAGAAGAACCACACTGTCCCCTCCGCTCCTTGCCTTGGTGATACAGACCCGGCAGTATCCCCTAAGTGCCAAAGCTCCTTGTGACAAATCCCCATGTCCTCTGATCCTCTCAAAAGGTACTTCTTCAATTTTCTTCTGTATAAATCTGATTCAGGCGGATGCCAGGGCTTTAAATTATCTTTAGTTAATTTCTTAGTTAACTATTMTCTTTAATTAGTTATTTTTAAAACCATCTCCTCTGCTGCCTCCCTTGCCTCAGGACCCTGAGGTATGGTCTCTGCTTAGCAGGTCACTGTGGCCTTCTGGGGAGAGAGGCTGGACACAGGACTGGCAGCCCTACATGCACCTCCCAGCCCAGGAACAGAACCCTGTGTGGCCTGAAGGCCATCTCTTTGTGGCTGTGGCTCCTCCGCAGACCAGAAAATTGTAGCCCTTACCTATGAAGTGCCAAGGCATTGTGAATTTGTTAAATGAGGAAATAGCCGCTCACCTAAATTATTGGTCACCATTTGGTGACCAAAATTAATTTCATTTTTATTTTTCTCTTTTAGGTTCTGTAAATGAAAAGTTACCTCCACGGGAAGGCACAGGAAAAACAGGTAACTATCTTAACATCAATTTTCATGATGATATTTCSTATCTAATCCAGTTGGTGCCTTGAAGTGACTTCTCAAGTTGAGACTTCAACATGTATTAGTAATGGCAATGGAGCTGAAATAGTGGTCAGTTCTTCATTTGTTCAACAGACATGGGGTCAGTCTTGGGGTTGCAGTCACCCTGTTGCTATGGTGCACATCCCTGGCCAGCCCTGGGGTCCACCCCAGAGCTCCTGCCCTGACTGTATCAGAGCTGCCGCATTGTGTCCCTGGGAAGACCCTAGGGAGGGGCCAGTCCATGYTTGGGCTCCGGCTCCAGCCACTGTGGTCTCACCCCTCCTGCGCAGGGCCATTAAGCTCCTCCCTGAAGAACCACTCCTTGGCCAGGGTCAGCCTCCAGGGGCTGCAGGTGCCTCTGTGGCTACCAGGGTGGTGGTCCTCATCCCAGGCCCCTTTCTGGTTTTGTCTTCTCCAGGTTAAATGAAATCAGACTTTGGGGCAAAGAGCTTAGACTTTCTTTCCCTGACCTGGGTTATTATGATGAACCGTAGCAAAGAAGAGTAATGTAAAGACAAACGGACCCTGGTTTATTCAACCCCATTCCTGAAACATACAGTGAAACTCTGACAGGCTCCGTCCCTCCCAGGAGGAACATTTGTCAGGTGTTTGCTTTTGAAAGACAAGGGTGGCCACCTGGTCACCTCCAGCTGCCCAGAGACCACTCGATGGGGATGGGAGGGAGGTGGTTGTGTGGACTCGGACCATAGTCCCTGGGAGATGGAGCTCTCGGTGCAGGAAGAGTGCCCGTTCATTTTCCAGCTGTCGCAGTGACAGGCAGAACGGGGTCCTGGCTTGACAGGTCTGCGAGGGGAAGAAGGGACAGGGCACTGAGCACTCGAGTGAGGGTCTGGATCTGTACCTGTGAGATATTGGTGGTCGTCAGACTGAAGGTCTGGGAAAAGGAAGTGGCAATGTTCATGCTTCTAGAAGTCCATCAAACGCTGAAGAGGGAGGAGCAGGAGAGGGAGGATCCGGCTCAAGGACGGTTCTCCTCCTGATGGTTAGGATTGTAGATGCTCATGGAACCCACTGTGGGGCCGTCCCGGGGAATTGGTGTGTGGGCACGAAAATGAACTGTCGCCCCCAGCCAGCAGACAGGCCTTTAACAGAAGGAAAATGGGGAACACAGCCGCTGAGACCGTTGTCTCGTGTCCTCGGACTGCATTGGCCCCCACAGGGCTTGTGCTGACACAGAGCTGCTCAGGGCAGCACAGGACAGGCTGAGGGCGCCTGGGGTCCAGGGAGAGCACAGCAAAGGCTCTGCCCCCCCTGGGCCACACCCCCACCCCTCACCTCCCTCGCCCTGGGCCGCCAGCAGCCCTTAGATGGCAGGGACCCCATGAGTCTGGGGACAGCTGGAAGGCCCAGAGTGGCAACCTGCTTAGACCTCCGCATCGGACGGCCATCACCAGCCCTGAACACTGAGGATGGGCCTTGGCGGGGTTTTCCCCATGTGCTCGTAGGACTTGGAGCAGGGGCCTTGGACCGGCTCTCACTTCAGCTTCTCGTCTGAGAACAYGGCAAAACATTTAGTAGAAATGGGCCTGGCCCTGGCTACCATTGTTGTTCTGCTCAGACTCTGCTATCAAATGGTGTCACGTTTTTGTCATTATTTGGACCATAAACAAGAGAGCTCAATGTTAAAGATTTTTWAAAATTTCTTTTTGGCTTTCCTCCTAAAAAACCTTATGCTAAGCTTCTCTGCTGTTCCTCAGCAGGGAGGGTTAGCAGATAGGCCCAGGGTCTGCCGTCATCTTGTGTTGTATCCTGAGATCACTACCTAGCAGGGGGCACAGGCAAGCCTGGGTGGAGAAGGGGGGGTCCTGGGGGCCCAGGGCCTCCCCACTGCCCAGCRGGGCTGGTCCCAGAGCAGGATGAGTAGGAGCTCTGGAGCAGGCAGGCTGTGTCTGGGCTCTTACGCCTGCCCCTCCCCGGGAACTGGAGGACACCTCTCAGGTGTCTGAGTGAAAATGGTCCATTGAGCAGGTGCCCTCTGCACAGCGGGGGTGGCCACACCCAGCCTGCTCCCTGCTCCCTGCTCCTAGCCCTCACCCCACCCACCTCTCCTCCTGTGTGATGCTTCTGCATCATTCTGCAGGAGGGGGAGCTCAAGGTGCACAGAGGTGGCAGCCAGTGGTCCASCCCACGCCTCCCTAACTGCTGCCTTTCCACACACCAAAGGGGGGTGCACCCAGTGCTGGTTTTAGCCGCCCTCCCTGTCCCCCAGACTCGTCTCCTCCTCGACTCCTGATGACCTGATTCACCACTCCGCTGATTTGAACCCTTTCCCAGATCTAGCCTCCCCTGCTCCTGGTGTCTCACCCCTTCCCCAGCCATCCTGGRGCTGGGAATTGGCCCAAGGACTCAGGGCCACATCTAGCATCTCCTGCCTGGGACTTGGTTTTCAGCCTTGAGCTGAATTTTGAAGCAGTGGCCCCTGCGGCTTTCATCAGGGTCTGGTCGGGGCTGGCGTGGGTGCAGCCCCTGCGTCCATTCAGGGTGGCTGTGGGGGTTGGTGGGGCTGCATGCGAGTCCTGAGCTCTGTCCTGCATGCACACTTACTTAGCTTACTCTCATAATTGTAGTCTCCTTGCAAATCTTTTCCGTTCTGAATTCAGATGATGCCGCCGCTCCGGCGCTGGAGACACAGCCTCAAGGAGATGAGGAAGGTGAGCCCGGGAGATGATTTGGGTTTGTGGGGGGGAGGCCAGAGAGCTGGGAGGCAGAATCAGGTCACCCTGTGAGGAATGCTACTCACAGAGGATTGGGATGATCCAGGAACACAGTCTTCCAGCACAGGGGAGAGAGGAAAGGTGGCCACGGGGTGGGAGGGGCCAGAGGATACCAGTTGCACCTACGTGGGATGAGGAGGTTAGCCATCTGACGTGTGGCATGAGGGTCATCGTTGCTACTGTCCTGAGCATTTCCTAAGACAGTGAACTCAGGTACTTCTACCCCACACAACTTAAGTGAGAAGAAGGGTGTGTTAACCTGCTTGATTGCAAAACTTGTTTCAGTGTCTATCCTAAATAGAGACGCCCAAACAAGATATTTGGCCTGAACCTCTGTGAGGGCACCTGCTGTTTTCCTGGGGATTTTGATGTTAAATGGTACTTCACATAGCAGAACACTGAGATATTGCATTTTTAATACAAATCTGTGAGGGGGACAGCTGGAGGKCCCAGAGTGGCAACCTGCTTATACCTCCGCATCTGACGGCCGTCACCAGCCCTGAATCTTACAATTAAGATGACATAAAGCGTATATTTCTAAAGTGTGCAATGACATATGCCATTTCTCTATTCATCTTTTCACGTTTTTGTTATGATGAGGATAGATTTCCTCTCTTCACCTTTAATAAATTGTTTTGGACAGGTCAAATCCTCAGGTCAATGGGAATCAGTTGGGATCAGGGTTTAGATATAAATAAATACAAATAAATCAGGGATTGGAATACAGTTGCACCTTGCTTTGCAAATAAGCTGACATGCACATGGTGCTGAAGGCCACACTCTCTCTGCACCTGGGCACCCATTCCAAACAGGAGAGCCAGAGGTGTCTGGGTGGTGAGGGCGAAGGGATCGTTAGAATCTGTGTTCCCAGGGCAGAGCCCTGACCTTCACTATAAATATTCAAATGCATCTGTCACACAGTCTCACTAAAATGGTACATCCTTGAAATTTTTTTCACAAAAATTATATTTTGCGTTGAGTCTTTCAACTTAGGGAAAACCTGMGTGTTTGATGAACAACCATCTGTGCCACACAGTACATTTTCATACACTGAGTTGTTTTCTAATACCCAGTTCTTAGGAAACTGTCTGGATTTAAACTGTTTTTAATCATACTTTGGTTAAAGAAGAAATATGCTAAAACAATATATGAATAGTAGTCTTACCGTTTCCTTTTGTTTGGTGCACATGATCACGTTAACAATTGCTTTAGGAGGGAGTGATGTGCACTTGTGTGTCACACCCACTTTGTTTGCTTTGCTACCTGCTGGAACCTTTGAGAGGCTTTGATGAGAATGATTCTCCTTTTACTTCACTAGATATTGCGTCACGTTATCCCACCCTCTGGACCGAGCAAGTCAAAAGCCGACAGAACAAGACCAATAAAAACTCAGGTAAAGTGGGACGACCATTGCAAATGCACGCCTCAGCTGGGAGCTTCCCCTGCGGGGGTGCCAGGCGCTGTGTCCTGTAACTTGGTCACAGAGTCCTAAGAGGGTCACTTATGGCCGGGCCACCARATGCATTTAAGATGTTGGTGTTTTCTTATTACACTTTCCAAATTCTTCAGAGGTTTATGTATGAAAATGGAAATGTTTGATGTAAAGACACCGATGACTGTTGGGATCGAGTGTTGGGTGACTGTAGACAAGCAACTGGTGGAGTCCTCCATGGTTGTGATTTTGGCTGGTTTCAGGAAACCTGCTTCTTCCTGTAGTTCCTGTTGACCTCTGGCTGGTGTCCACAGTTCRTTTTGGAAGGAAGTGATCTTGGGGTTTCAAGGAGCTTGGTGCAGAGGAGACCGAGCTGGTGACAACTGAGATTTCTTGTGCTGCCTCCTGGGAAGGCGGCATGGTGACYGCTGCGAGGTGGTCAGTGTGGTGGGTGCTGGTGTCTCTATGTCTCCGTCAACAGGCATTTTTAATAACAACTTACTGGAAAGTCGGGAGGTTTACCAAGGTTCAGGGTCCTCAAGCAGCTGGACTCTGCTCTCACCCATGCACTTGCCCAGCGGCACAGCCCCAGGCGGAATCAGGAATGTCTGGCTGGTGTTGCCCGGGAGGACTGGGTGGCCAGGGCCTGGCCCTTCCCTCTCACCTGGTGTCTGCCCAGGGCATTTCCCAGCCCACTGCGGCCCTCACCTGGCTCCGGCCAAGCCCTGTCCCTCACTTTCCTGGTGGGCAGAGAAAGGCAGGATCCAAAGGTTTCACCACCAGATACATGGGTACAAATGCAGGAAATTAAAACTATTTGTAAAGTGTTGATTTTTTAATAAGGAATGAYATTACACATAAATTCTCCCTGTTGTATAAAAATATGCATCTGTGCACTTCTCTCATAAACTTTAGAAACTCAGTCTTGTTTGCTTTTGCATGTGAAGCTCTTGGCTTTGCTTCTGAACTCTATAAACGAATGCAGGAGAAACCACTCAGAACACACGTGCATGAGCTCGCCTGTAGGTCTGGAAGCTCCTCAGGGCAGGGGTGACGTGCAGTGCCTGAGCTCTGGGAGACACATGCCCAGTCTTTGTGAGCCCCATCCCTGGGCGCCCTTAAGCACAGGTCATTGTGAGCAGGGGCCATTCGGGGTTGGCAGGTTGAGCCTCCCAGAAGCCCCAAGAACAAGTGTACCATTGTTTGACACTTGCTTATGCCTTGTTCTAGGCTGCCAGGTGGCCTGCCAGGTGCCATCAACCCATGGAAGCTGCACAGGCTTTCAGTAGGTCATGGGGCTGAAACTCRGGCCTCAGGAAGTCCCATCCACATCCGCTGCCTGCACATTGCTTGATCTAAGTCTGCCTGCGTGAGCAGAGTACAGGAAGGTGGCGTGAGCTGGGTTGTGGATGTGGGGCTTGGAAAGGAGTGGTCAGATCTGTGCTTAGTGACCGCTGTCCCGTGCAGGTCTGTCCCAGCCTGAAAGAGGGTATTTTGGGACATTAAAAACAGTGTTTGATTTGTTCCGTTTTAACACTGAGATGATGTATCACACACAGTCAGGATTTACACAATGGCCACCACTGCCATTTTCTGCTGTTCAAAGCTACCTTTACTTATAATCATCTTTGGTAGATGTGGGCACATTTATTTGACCAAAAATGAATGATTTGTGACTTAGTACTCTGTGTTTTTAAAAATTCTCTTAGTTTGTCAGTTTTCTTTCATCTTCTTTTATAGAAAARGCCAACCTAGAAACAAATGGCATTGCTTAGCTGTCCTCTGATGTTCCTGTGGGTGAGCGAAACATAGGATGGGAGTGAGCATGTGCTGTGAGCACGTGGCTTACAGCAGAGTGGCAGGAGCTTTTCCAAGGGGCCATTCTTCCAAAACAAACCAAGTCTCCCAGCCTGTGAAGCTTTTCACATAGTAGTTACTCAATAAATGTGTATTTACCACAATAAATATGTACTTACTAAACCAACAAAGAGTCTTCCCATCACACATCCCATGGGCACTCTGCTGGTACCATCACATTTGTTTCTAAACCTGAATTAACGAAACAGAAGTATAACCAAGTTGATAAATAGTGAGGAAGGAGGGAATCTCAGTACCACTGTTCTTTGGCTTCTGGATTTATACTGATTGAAATTCAATGCTAACATAATCATATATGAAATGTTCTCTGTTCATTTAGTAAGAAAAGCAGCTCTTTCATTTAATGATCAATATACATTAAAGAAATGACTAGAATCTCAATTTTTTAAACTTAGGAATGCAGTATCCACTTTTCCTATCTAATTGAGACTAGGTGTTGGTTCTTCACTGTCTTGGGTCATCTTACCATCTTAGCTTTGCTCTATCCATAACGGGTACACGAGGTATGGCAAATATTTATCAGGTAGACTTTGCAAGTTTCTTTCAATCAGATGACGCTTGAGTGTCTCATGATTAACTGGCGTACACCTGACCATCACTCTTCCCTGGGGCGTGGCAGGTGCTTCCCTGATCCCAGCCTGGCTGCCCTGAAGCGCCCTCTAGGACTTGGAAGAGGAGCTTTGGGTATCACTTCTTGGTTGGAGAATGCCTCAGATGCGCAGTGATTCCCAGATGCCAGGCGCTGGGGCTCTKTGGCCTTCCAGACGAGGGGCCTCTCTCAGAAGGGAGCTTGAGCTGGGCCTTCAGGGCTTACGGAATGCTGCCCATGGGGACAGGGACGGCCGCCCAGGCCCTGGTCTCTGGAGTCCAAGTGCCCAGTCCTTCTCAGTGCCCAGGTGGCCGGAGGGGGAGTGTGACTGGCATGAGGCTGGCTTCCCTCGGCCTGGAGAGGAACCTGCAGTGGGGTGTGACCTCAGAGCTGTCCTCAGAGTGGTTCATCCTGGGGTCCATGGGGCATGCCCCTCCCCAGCAGGAGGCCAGACCGCTGTCCTCACCTTGTTTCAGGGGCCTTCGTCTTTCACAAAGTACTAAGAACAAGGTGACCATGTTCTTTTTTACTCTAGGTGTCTAATAATGCAGATTTCTTAAGTTTATGCCAAAAAACGTGTGTTGATTTGCACTGATTAATTGGGATTCTGCTCGGGGCCCGTTACCTGCTGAAGGGAGTATAAAGGGGCGGAAATAGGAGCTCAGCCCCGAACAGGTGGCAGAGCCCAGCAGGGCCGGGAGGCCGAGGCCCTCTTGGTGGAGAAGGACCCGAGGGCCCAGGGCTGCGCTCTTCTGCACATCAAGAGCTGGGCATGTGCCTCCAGGGCCCAAAGCCTCAGGATGTTCTGTGCCCATGTGGCTGACATGGTGCCGTCGTCTGCACCACACCAGTCTAGGGGTCGCGTGAAGCAGAACCCATCAGTCAGTGGGGTCAGGGTCTGGCTGGGGGACCGGGCTCTGCAGGATCGGGTAGACCCTGGGCTGCCTCTTGCTTGGGCACCGATCTTCCAGTCAGATCCTCCACTTGCCCCCGCCCCAGGCAGACACTGAGGCATTGCTGAGGGTCTGGTGCTGGCCAGGAGGGAACCAAGTGGGATTTGGGCTGGGTCACCCCTGGGGCCACTGCCCTTGGGTCAAAATGGATCATGTGGGTCGCAGTGCCCTGGGGCCCCTCTGCTTGGGCTGAGGGGAGGGGGGCAGCCCAAGTCTCCTCAGGGGAGGTGTCCTCTGTGAGGTGCTTCATTCTTGGGGCTCCCTGTGCTGCACAGTGCTGTGGTGTGGGGGGTCGCCCTCACGGCCAGCAGCTCCTAAAACCAGGGGCGATTGAGGGCTCTTCTTGCTCTCCCAGGTCAGCACCTCAGCCTGAGCCCACACTGTCCTAAGGTGGCTCTGCGGGGCCACTGGCCAAGCAGTTCATCACCTGCTGGCCCCTGCTGGACCCCAGGGCCCCTGTGTCCCTCCTGAGGCTGCAGCACTGCCTTCGGGGCTCCGCCAGGGCCAGCTTCACAGGGAGAGCAGAACCGGGCGCTGGACACCTCAGTCTTAGGTTATTAACCTGGGATCTGAAGCTGGTGCKGGAGCGGCCTGTGTCCTTCCCTCCAGGGCCTGCGGGAGCCTGGTCTCCCTTGGAGCCCAGGCTGAGGCTTTGCAGACTTCCGGGGCACACAGGCCTGCCCCAGGCCTCCCTCTGTAATCCTCTGGCTTTGCTGACCTCTCATTTAGTGCCTTTTAAGATTTTGCACACGAGCTGGAGGAAACATGGAGGACCCTGTTTCTGTCAACTGTCAGAACCCTCCTCCCACCAGGAGAGAGTCTGCTTTCCTCCCCAGGCTGCGAAGACAGCCCTGCTTCCTGTCTGGGGAGAGCCTGGTGTGCCGGGCGTCCTGCGGTTTTATGGGCCCCCTCAGCGGAAACGCTGCTCTGCCTYACTCAGAGGCTGATAATTTTTGTTTTATTGCACATATTAATATTAGTGCCAAAAGATAATTATCATTTAATTCTGCTTTAAATCATGGTAGATTACATTCCCTGGAGGCAAATAATACAAATCATATTTTCTTTTTTTAATTTCTGAGTTTCTCGTTGTCATCCTGTTTTYCAAACATAACAATATAAAAGCATCCAGACACCAGGTAGATTTGTAAGTTATAAAGCTTGGCCATCTGAAGAGCTTACAGTATTAAAATGAATCTAGCAATTCCTGCTAACTGTGACTACGAGACTGTATTCCTTAAAGGCATCAATCATTTCTCTGAAGATGGACATCACTGAGTTGATCCATCACTGAGTCTTCTTAATTGCGCATGGAGGTTTTAATTGCAGTAATAGTTCATGATTTCATATTTCTCCTATTATGATATTCAGTCAAACTCTGGTTAAATTGGCACTCGATAGCATTTTGGAGCCTCGGTGCAGGACCAGGCGGGCCCGATCCATCTCTGCAAACTGCTGGGTTCCATGCACGGTGCAGCCAACCCCTGAGGTGGCTCCTAAGCCAACTCCTAAGGTGAGCTGGGGCTGCCTGCCTCATGGGC